GAATAAGACAACGCTTGAATGCTGCTGCCTGAACAAGAGACCTCCTTACTGAAGGGAACCCAGACAGCAGACCGTTTCGGCCCAGATCCGGCCCACACCTGGCCCGCATGGATTTCACATGGGCCAGATGTGGGCTATATATATATATATAAATAAATAAATGCACACTGCGGTCAAAATTTTACATACGCTTTGCAGTATCTGCAAAAAGTTAATTATTTTACCAAAATAAGAGGGATCAGACAAAATGCATGTTGTTATTTTTTTAGTTAGTGCTGACCTGAATAAGATATTTCACATATCTTTTGTTTACATATAGTCCACAAGAATAGATGAATATATAAAAACATATGGTCTATTCTTTACATATGCTCGATTCTTAATACTGTGTTGTTACCTGGATGATCCACAGCTGTTTTTTTTTTTTTTTCATGAGTCCCTTGTTTGTTCTGAGAGAAAATAATAGTTGAATTTATAAAAATGACCCCGTTCAAAAGTTTACATACACTTGATTCTTAATACTGTGTTCTTACCTGAATGACCCACAGCTGTTTTTTGTTTTTTTTTGTTTAGTGATAGTTGTTCATGAGTCCCTTGTTTGTCTTGAACATTAAAATCGCCTGCTGTTCTTCAGAAAAATCCTTCAGGTCCCACAAATGTTTTGGTTTTCCAGCATCTTTTGCGTATTTGAACCCCTTCCAACAATGACTGTAATGATTTTGAGATCCATCTTTTCACACTGAGAGACTCGTAAGAAACTTGCCAAAGAATTTGTGGGACTTGAATGATTGAAGAACAACGTGCAGTTTAACTGTTCAAGACAAACAAGGGACTCATGAACGACTATCACAAAAAACAAAACAAAAAACAGCTGTGGATCATCCAGGTAACAACGCAGTATTAAGAATCAAGCATATGTAAACTTTTGAACGGGGTCATTTTTATAAATTCAACTATTCATTTTTCTTGTGGACTATATTTAAACATCGTTATGTGGAATATCTTATTTAATTAACATGCATTTTGTATGATCCCTCTTATTTTGGTAAAATAATTAACATTTTGCAGATACTGCAAATTGTATGTAAAATTTTGAACTCAACTGTATATATGTATATGACTATTAAAAAAAAATATATATATATATATATATAATACATTTATTTTTGTATTTAAATATTTTTCATATGCAAGTTTAATGAACTGATCACAACTGATCTTAATATTTGTATATGCAAAAACCTCTAAGTTCATCTGATATTTTTCTTTGAAATTAGCATTTTTATCAGGCACCTATGAAATGACATTGTACATTTTTGAAAATAAGGCATTCGATAACTTACTAATAATATTTTTATTGCCATTGAATTGAAATTGCTTAACATAAACATAGGAGCCTGATAAAAATGCCAATGTAAAAGAAAAAAATCTCGGATGGACTTAGAGGTTTATGTATGTGAAATCTTCATTTTCATCTGACGTTGTGTGTCGTTCCAGGAACGCAAAGGGACAGCAAAACTTGACTTCTTGAGGAAGATCGAGGAGGAGGTTCAACAGAAATGGGAGCAGGAAAAGATTTTTGAGATTGATGCTCCAACCACCATTGAGGAAAATACAAAGTGAGCCTGTTTTTATATATTTTCTGAAGTTGTACAGATTATATTCATGACTAATTATGTATTCTTGTCTGTTTGCCCAATAAGAACAAGTACTTTGTTACGTTTCCTTATCCGTATATGAATGGGAGACTTCACCTTGGACATACGTTCTGCCTGTCGAAGTGTGAGGTGAGTCTGAAATCCAATTAAAGAAGATGTCAAAGACAACATGCCATAGCATTTAGAATTCAATTATAATTTCCAATGCCCTGTAGTTTGCAATGGCTTACCAGCGGCTGAAAGGAAAGCATTGTCTTTTCCCATTTGGACTTCACTGCACTGGGATGCCCATCAAAGTGAGTAGATTAAACTCCCAAAGGCCCGCACCTCAGATCTGTACACATTTATAATCAACATGAATGCTTTACGTCTGTGTGTAACAGGCATGTGCAGACAAGCTGAAGAGAGAAATGGAGCTGTATGGAAACCCGCCCCAATTCCCTGAGGAAGACGATGAGGAGGAAGAGCAGAAGAAGATCACTGATGAGGTCATCATCATGGACAAGACAAAGGGCAAGAAGGTAAATGTGTGCTATGAGGAAATTATAACCTAAATGTTGTAGGTTTGAATCCTCACAAGAGTTGATCCATGAGCTGTGAACTTCATATTAACATATAATTAATTAAAGCTGGTAAAGTTGACTTTTTTGAATGTGATGTCATTGGCAGAGCAAAGCTGTAGCAAAGTCTGGAAGCTCCAAGTTCCAGTGGGACATCATGAAATCTCTGGGGCTGCGGGACGATGAAATTGTGAAGTTTGCTGAAGCTGAACATTGGCTGGAATATTTCCCTCCTCTTGCTGTAGAAGACCTGAAGAAAATGGGTTTAAAGGTAGTACAAGTTCATCTGAATATTTGTAATTCTGCCCATTGCGTTGAATTTTGCCATTTAAAGCAACATGATTTTTGACATTTGTGTCTGTAAATGAAGTTTTTCCTCATTGATATTGTAGGCTGACTGGCGTCGTTCCTTCATCACGACTGATGTAAACCCTTTCTACGACTCTTTCGTGAGGTGGCAGTTCATAACTCTGAAAGAGAGATAAAAGATCAAGTTCGGGAAAAGGTATGGTAACAAAATTGAAATAAACCGTGATTACGACACTGAAGTTTACTAATCTTTGCAGAAATGTAAAACCTCGGCAGAGAAAAGCAAAGTCTGTACACAGTACACATTATAATCAAAAATGACACCTAACATAACCTTTCTATGTAAGCTATTGCAAAAGTAAAACCTTAAAGTACTTATTATGAAACATTCTGTAAAAGTTATTTTTTTAGGTTGTCTTAAAACCCCTTTCTGCAACATTATGGGATTTTAAGCTATTTTATGTTTGTAAAAAAAAAAAAAAAAAGAATGTTCCTAGAACAGTATTGTTTGGTTCCCAAAAAAATAACAAACAAGTTAACTAATGTTAGGTGAACATTTTCTGTTAGTTGGGCAGTTTAACGCATGTGTGTAGAACAGCCTCAACCTTTCAAACCCCTCTTTGTCCTTAAAAAATACAATGAATAGAGTTGTTGTGCAAAATAAACTAAATAGACAGATAAAATATACTGTATACTAACCTAAAATATAAGCATGTTGTATATGAAGAGTTAATTTGCAATAACCGATAACTAATATTTTTTTTTTTTTCCAGAAATCACGTTTTTTTTATTGCGCATTCCAAGTAATATCAATCAAACTGCAGCTGGGTTGTTTTGATTAAGTAATCATAACTTAAACAAATACAGGTAATTTACAAGGTTAAAGTGCATTGAAAGTATGTTTTTTTTTTTTACATATTAAAAGTTTGTTTTATAGCAAAAGCAGATAACTCCCAACAGTCGTTTTTTGGCAAAAGCAGACGCCACATTTCATGTTTTAGAGTAAAAAAAAAACACTTGTTTAATCTTTGTAATCTCCATGTAGATGCCTGACAAACGTTGTTGTTGTTGTGATTATAAACTGTATGGATGTGATTACACGCAATATACGGAGCTTTTCCCTCACCATTGTAACGCGCTGCTTTTGCAAGGTTCCGTGAAAACGTTTCAGCTTTTATTTTCCTTTTTCGCCCTGAAGAAGATATCACAGGTTCATCAATTGCTAAAGTGTGATGTAGATGAATATGGAACTAAGAAATATGTATTTATATATAAATATATATATGAAGAGTTCATTTGCAAAAACCGATAACTCGTTTTTTTATTGCGCATTCCAAGTAATATCAATCAAACTGCAGCTGGGTTGTTTTGATTAAGTAATCATAACTTAAACAAATACAGGTAATTTACAAGGTTAAAGTGCATTGAAAGTATGTTTTTTTTTTTTACATATTAAAAGTTTGTTTTATAGCAAAAGCAGATAACTCCCAACAGTCGTTTTTTGGCAAAAGCAGACGCCACATTTCATGTTTTAGAGTAAAAAAAAAACACTTGTTTAATCTTTGTAATCTCCATGTAGATGCCTGACAAACGTTGTTGTTGTTGTGATTATAAACTGTATGGATGTGATTACACGCAATATACGGAGCTTTTCCCTCACCATTGTAACGCGCTGCTTTTGCAAGGTTCCGTGAAAACGTTTCAGCTTTTATTTTC